TGGCAGCCCAAGCAAACTAATACAGTCTGCATCATCTCTTGCCTGGATTATTTGAGCGTCTTCCATCACTAGTCTCCTCTCTTCTACCCTATCTTGCTACAGAACTTCTCAACAGAATAGCCAGAGTGATCTGATTAAAATGAGTGTAAGTTCATGTCTGTGAAATGCTAGAATATATATTTATATATCTACATCTATGTCTAATATAGATGTTGATATAGATATCAATGATATGAATATAGATATAGATCTACTTCCAGTTTCTGTTTTAATGTTTGGTCTTTGACCCTGGTTTCTGACACCTAGCTCCTAAATCCCTGAGATTTTCTGGGTGATAGGAGTGTCTTTTGTTCTAATGAGATGACACTTGGAGGGCTTCTAGATGGGGGTTGATCAACAGAAAGACCAAGCCATGGTTAGAAGCTTGAAACTCTCAGCCCCATCACCTATCCTCCAGAAAGGGGAGAGAGGCTGGAAATGGAGTTAATATTCGATCACGTCTACATGATGAAGCCTTCATAGAAATCCAAAATGTATGAGGTTCTGGGAGCTTCCGGGTTGGTGAACACATGCAGGTGCTGGGAGAGTGGTGCTCCAGAGAAGGCATAGAAGCTCCTTGCCCCTCCCCACATACCTTGCCCTATGCATCTCTTCATCTGGATGTCCATCTGTATCCTTTATCATGTCCTTTTATAATAAGCTGGTACACAGTAAGTAAATTGTTTTCCTAAATTCTGTGATCTACTCTAGCATATTATGAACCCAAAGAGAGAGTCGTGGGAACCTTCAGTTTATAGGCAGTTGGTCACAAGCACAGTGACAACCTGGACTTGAGATTGGCATGTGCAACGTGGAGGTGGGGCAACCTCTTGGGACTGAGCCCTTAACCTGTGGGGTCAGAGGCTGTGTCTAGGCAAAGAGGATACCCAGCTGGCGTCACAGAGAATTGCTTGGTGGAGGGAATATCCCCACCCATCTGGGGTCCGTAGTGTCAGAACTGAAGTGTTCTGTGTGAGAAGTAAAGGAGGCACGCACAGAAGTTTTCACTCTTTTCAAAATACATAAGTAATGATGGTGAACTTCATGACTCTGTGATATTTGCAGCCTCTGTGCCTCTCCATCCTCATTCCCTGCCCACCATTACCCACTCTCCACTCCAAATAGTTCTGCTTTAGGAGCACTGTCTTACTTCCTGTTTTTCTAATACATCAGGGATGCCTCAACCTCAGAGCCCTAGCATCTGCGGCTCTGTCTGTTTAGAGCCCTCAATGATCCTCTCTCAGGGCTCACACCGCACTCCTTCATCTCCTGCAGGTGTTTTCTCAGAGATTCCAACACCCAGCACCGTCCCTCCTCATTCTCCCATTTCATTTCCCGCCAGAGAACTTATTTCCTGTATATTTTCACTGCTTATTCGTTCATTATTATCATCCCCCTCCACTATAAATGGAAATCCATGACAGTAGGGACATTTTACATTTGTAAGATATGTATTTGTCAAAATACAGGTATTACCCAAGCCCTCAGAACAATCGACAAGCAGGAGATAGTTGCTGAAGGAGTAGATAAATGCATGGGTGATAGCTGACCATGTGCTCAAAACCCTCACAGCAGTGTCCACACTAGTCGGAGTTAAATAAATAAATGAAAGTCAGAGCTCAAAGGATGAGCAGGAGTAGAGCAGGTTGATTTAGGCATGTGAGGAGGAGGGGACAGCTGAGTAATGATTCTGAGATGTAAGAAGCTTACACTTCTTGAGGTGAGTGAGCAGGCCAGTGTGGGACGAGTGAAGCACTGAAGGTGACTCTGGTTTCCCTGCCCTAAATGCCAGACAAAAGTATTTGGGCACTTGTACTTTGGTGGAGTGTAGAAGCAGTGCATTTCATTATGGAGGGAATGCTAATGTGCTGGGGAGGAGAGAGGGGAGGGCTGCAGCAGGAGAAGGACTAAGAGGGGAGCTCAGCTCAAAGGGAGTGGTTGTATTAAGAAGTTTTCAGAAGAAGCACAGACAAGCTTTGCAGCATATGGGTGTAGGAACAGGTGATGGAGGACTGGGGAGGGACAAAGCCAGGTCTCTGGTTGTGTGCCGGGGACAAGAGTACCATCAGGGGGATAGAAAGCCCAACAGGTGAAGGATGTTTGGAGGTGTAATAACCATGTGTTCCTGATGTTTTGACTCTGGCGTTGGTGAATTGCTAGAGATAGTAACGGACTTGCCTACAAGTATGCCTTTCATCTTGCAAACCAACGCATCCAAAGCTCACACCCCAACCACTTCGTCTACCAAGCTCTGACCCTCTGGACTATTCTCCCACCCTATTCACCCAGGACCAGGTACCAGACAACTGGAGACAGCCCCTACACCCAGAGCCTGCCAAAGTTATTCAAACTAGCCAGTCTTAAACCTGCTTGCCCTGCCTCACCTTGCCTTTCCCACGGAAACCACAGTAAACGCTCCTGCCCATGTTTTCCCCTTGCTCCCTCTGCCTCCTGACCAAACCTGGTGCCTCCTCTCATGGCCCTGTGTGGTGTGGCATTTGCCCTCCTCTTGGAACTGCGAGTAATGGCTGTGTCCCGATATGCTGGCCTCACATACATGAATACAGTCATGCGTTACTTAGTGACGAGGAAACATTCCGAGAAATACGTCGTTAGGTAATTTCATTGTACATCACAGAGTGTACTTACACAAACCTAGATGGTATAGCCTACTAGATACCTAGGCTGTATGGTACTAATCTTATGGGACCACCATTGTATATGCAGTTCATTGTTGAATGAAACATTGTTATGTGGTTCGTGGCTGTAATAATAAAATCTACATTTTCAAACAAGCAGGAAGATGACAAGCTTATTTCTGGACATGCCTAATCAAGCAGGACTGTGGACCCCAGGGAGATGTGGTGGGCAGACTGCATGCCAGGATGCCCACGTCACTCACCAGGGAAGCTGGTCTGACAACAGGGTGGATGTCATCCACGTCCACTGCTGTCCTGTCTGCTTTCTTCCTGTGGGTCTTCACTCTGATTGGAGACAGCAGGGTCTTTAACACGGGTCACTCTTTTGAGGCTGGAGTGAATGACTAAGGCAGGTTGAGGTGGGGTGAGCCCAGGAGCCTTCAAAACAAGACTTTGTAACAAGGTACTCCTCACTCCAGGGTGTCTGGAAACAGGGCTGGGAACACACTCACGCCTGGCTCAGGGGCTACTAGCTGGATTCTCACCACCACTATACCCCCCACCCTTGCTCTGGGCCCTCACAACCCCTCCAGGTCCCTCTTCTCCATTTTTTGGCCCACCCCCAACCCAGCTCACATGAAGAAGATGAGGTAGATGCAGAAAGTGAGCAGTGCAGTGACACCAGCTCCCCCAATGGCCCCCTGAATCACACCTGCGCTGGTCCGTGGTTCCTCTGCAGACAAGAAAGACTTGGGGTGAACTCCAATCTGAATGAACTGACTTGTGTCTACTCCTCTTCAGCATGTAGAGAGGGCCACCCCTCCCCTCCCATCCAGGGTTCAGCCTCCTGGTTCTCTCACCCATCATAGGACCTCAGCCTTGTCCAGAAGGATTAGCTCCACGCAACACCTCCTATCCAGCCCCCACACTCCAGTCTAGGAAATTCTATCTCTTCCAGGACCCAGGTTCTTCTCCAAACAGGGTGTCTCTACAACAGCCCCCAGGCGTGGCCTCAGCAGAAGCGTGAGTCTCTGGGCCTCAAGGACATTCCAGAGAGAGAGAAACACAATTCACAGAGCCCTATGGGATGATGAATGGCTTTGACCCTCCTGCCTTCCAGGGAGAGTGGTTTAATCTCCTCTCTTGTCCTCTTTTAACCGGTCACTCAGGGTCAAAGGTGGTCTTTCATGCCCAAGAAGAGAACTGAAGCGGGGAATTCTCAGACCTTCAGGAGAGACCCAGACAGCTCTGCTGGCCCTGCCTGGCCATGCCTCCTGGGAAACCCACACCTAAAGTGAGGGATGTGTCTCTGGGCTTCACCTGTCAACAGCTTGATGGGCACCGCTGAGAAAGACCCAACAGGTCTCACTGTCCAGTGAGGGGACCAGAGACCATTACCAGTGGGAATAGAGCAGTGGGGGAAGCTGGGCTCTAGAGAGAGGTCAGGGTGAGAGTAGGAGATTGACAATCAAAAAAGGGCCCAAAGAGATTTTGGAGGCAATGAAACTATTCTGTATGATACTATAATGATGGATACATCTCATTACACATTTGTCCAAACCCATAGAATGTACAACACCAAAAGTGAACCCTAATGTCAAATACAGACTTTGAGTGATAATGACATGTCAATGTAGACTCATGACTCAAATGTCCCCTCTGATGGGGGATGATGATACAGGCGAAGTTGTGCATGTGTGGGAAAGTGCAACTGGTATAGGGGAAATCTCTCTAACATCTGCTCACTTTTGCTGTGAACCTGAAACTTCTCTAAATAGCAAAGCCTACTAAAAAACTCCCCTAAGGCCTTCAGTGACATGAGGAAGATAAAGAGCACATTTAGGATGGGCAGGAGGAGGTAGTAGGTCAACCTGGCAAGACGGGATTTAGAGGATATTGAGGGAAGTCGTCTGACAGGGGCTTCTCGTGACTAAATGCAGTCCCCCCCATCTCTCGCCCACCATCTGAGCTCTGAAAATGTAGCTCTGACTTGACCTGGTAGAGACCCCACCCCAGTCAATGCCCCATGAATGGGGGCTCCTTCCTACCTGTGCCATCCCCTAGGCAGACACCATTTTCTGGGTTCTCTGGAGCACCTATGACGAGAAGATGGGATTTCCCCCTTCAGTGGGAGGGTGCGGTGAGATAAATGTAGGCATCCTCCAATCCCCAGGAGCCACAGAAATGGTGGAGGGGCAGGTCTTGTATCCTTCTAGGTCCTCTACTCAGCCAGGCCCCCAGTACAAAAGAACAAAGCATCCCCAGCCTGGCCCTCTGCCCCTCACACCCTCAGGGATCCGGGCGTCCTGGCCCAGAACTCACAGGTGATGTTGAGCTGGATGGTCCTTTCCACAGTCACACCAGCTGCAGGGAACTTCACCTGACAGGTGAGGTTGGTGCCATGGTCCTGGGGCCGTGGGGTGAGAGTGAGCACTGAGGAGAGGTGGGTCCTTGGTCCCAGGGAGGTGAGGGCAGCTGATGTCCAGGAGAAGATGGGGGGTGTGACCCACTCACAGGCCCAGGGCACAGAGCAGGTCACGTTCCTGGGGCGGCCAGACTCCAGGGTCCCCGGAATGAGGATGTGGGGTGTGTGGGTCAGGGCTGGTGAGGGGAGAGGGAGACATGGGGATCAGGAGGGATAGTCTGAGGTGTGGTCCTGAGAGAAGTCTCAGGCTTTGGTACAGCTCCTCCCTCTGATCCCTGAGTCACTATACCCCCAACCCCTCCCAGAAAAGGGGTCCCATCCCAGCCCTGCATGCGAGCCTCCAGTGCAGGAAGTTCCTGGAGCCCACTTCCTACCTATTACATGCACAGAGAGATGGTTAGATGTGTAAGTCCATTTTGTAATTCCTCTCTCCACCCGAAAAAAATATTTTCCATTGTCCTTCCTGCTGGCATCTCTGATGTCCAGGGAGCAGTTGTAGGTCTGGGGGTCTCCAAGGAGGCGGAATCGGCCCTGGGTCTCCTCCTGCACTTTACGGTCTGGGTTGTTTGTGGCCACAGGAGCATCCTGCTGTGTATTTGCCCCTTCCCGGAACCAGTAGCCATGAGCTGGGGCAGCATTATTCCAGTAGTACCAGGGATGGGAGAAGGTGCAGGGCACAGAGACACACAGGCCCTCCTGCACAGTCACGGATTCCTGCACTTCCAGTAGGTATCTGTCATACTGAGCCAGGGACCCTGAAGAGAAACAGGATCAGCCACAGCCCCTGCCCCACTTGCCCCCTCTACACCTGGCTCACTCACCTGCCAACAGCAGGGACAGCAGCAGTGGCAGCATCTCTGAGCTGGAGAGTTCTGGGCTCTTTGTGTCTGAAAAGAAAAGGGGAAGGCCAGTGTGGGGTACGCTGCTGGTCGATGCACAGGAAGCTGGGGAGGTGCAAGTGACCTTGGCCCTTCACAGAAGAGGAACTACAGGCCTGAGTTGTCCACTTCTGCTCAGAGTGAGTGGCACCCCATGGCCCAGACACCCCAAGACCCGCCCAGAGGAGAGCAGACAAGTGTCTCCGCCGTGGGTGTTTCCCTCCAGCACTGGACCCTGGATCAGGACCTCTGAGGACATCTGAGGTGTAGCACACAGTTAGTCTCTAAGGGCCTTCCATCTGCGGTGCCTTTCTGGACCATGTTGTCTGCACCAGGGAGCTGGTCAGCTCCTGCCTGACCCTGGAGGATCACAGCCTCTTCTAGACTTTGGATGGTGGGTCCTGCCAGGTGGAGGATTCTTTAGGGTCTGTGTGATCATCTGGGGCAGAGGGAAGAAGGGGGTCCTAGTTGACGTTAAGTTAGCAGCAATTCCCTCATTCATTCGTTCGTTCATTCCCCAAACACTTAATGAGCGTCTAGGTGTTGGGGAGGTTGGAGACAAGAAGGGAGACAAAAGACCTGGCCCATGCCCCCGTGATGCTCCCCACCCAGTGGTGTCACTTCCTCCCCACACACTCAGTACTGTCAGGCTTTAGAGCTGCAGTCACTGGTGAGTTTCCTGTGAGTCCTGGAAGAATACTTAGTATTTTCTAAAATATGAGTATGAGATTTTTTAAAACTTATTGTATGCTGATTCATGAAGTTTCAATGGCATCTACAAAAGTAAAAAAAAATGTGGCATCTTCATGTAAAACTAAAGGGAGAGCACATGTTCTAGGAGCCAATGCAGGGGAAATTTCTTTTTCCTGAAGGCTGCCTTTCAGTGTTGTGTGGACTGGAGTGAATTTTTTTAGATCCTCGTCATACCAATTAGCATTTCCTGTCACGTAAAACATCTTCTCACAGTTACATGTGGCTCACAAGGCATAATACTTCCAGAAAACATGAGTGGAATCTACAGCTACAGTTAAAATTTTAGGTTCAGTTCATGTGGTTTTGTATCTCCCTCTGTGTCATGTGCCTATGGGAAATCCTTGTCACCTGTGACATAACAGCATTTGCCACCACTGGTTTGTAAAATCTTTCAAATACAGTAGTATCTAGATAACTATTCCTTCAACCTTACTGAGAGAGATTTGTACTCTCATTTTATATGTAGGGAATTGAGTCTCCAATAAGTAATATAATACTTGTTCTGCATTGTTAAAAAAGAGCGATGTGGCACGTAATAGAAACCCCAACACAACCAGTTTCACAGTCCAGAAATTTGTACCATGTTCATGGAGTGGAAGTCTCTGTTAGTTCTCATTGTTTTTCTTTAATGAACTTTAAAAGGTATGGAAAATAAAATGCACCCACTTGAAAGTTACATGTCTATGGATTTTGACAAATGTATACAGTCCAGTTCTGACATCCACAATCAAGAGAGAGAATGTTTCCACTACCAGAGAAGGATAAGACACACCTATTTGCAGCTTATCACTCACATCTCCACCCCAGGTCACCATTGATATACTCTCTATCTTGGTAAATTAAGTTTGTCTATTGGAGAATTTTCTAGAAATGTACTCATTTGTGTCTAGATTCTCTCGCTCAGCATGCTATTTTTGAAATGGATCCAAGTTATATGTTTCTGTAGTTTATAATGTCTGCTTCCTAAATACTACTGTATTACATGGCTGTACTGTGTCTTTTATTTATTCTCCTATTGACAGACACTTGAAATTTTTTAGTTTTTGGCAATAAATATTAAGAAGTAAGTCTTTCTATGGCCATATTTTCATCCTCATGAGAACATACAAGGAGTGAAATTGTTAGATCAAAGAGTAACCACATGTTTTACCCTAGTAGAAATTGCCAGACCGCTGTCCAGACTAGTTTTAACCTCTACACTCCTGTTTGCAAAGTGCCAGAATTCTAGTGCTTCACACCCTCGTTAACACTTGGTATTGTCAGACTTTTAAATTTTAACGATTCTAGTGGGAGTGTAGTTGTAGCTCATTGTTTTCTGATTTATTTTAAGTTGAGATACAGTGAGATTCACTTTTTATCATATACAATTCTGTGAGGTTTGACAGATGTATATCATATGTAACCACAACCGCAGTCAAGAGTCTGAAGAGAGCTGTTACCCAACACATTCCTCCTGCTGTCCCTGTGTAGACAAATCCTCCCTCCACCCAGAACTCCCGAATAACGCTGATCTGTTCTCCATCCCTGGTGTTTCACTCACTGTTTACAAAATGTCATAGAAATGGAATCAGACAAAATGTAGTCTTCATAGTCTGGCTTCATTCACTTGGCATAACGCATTTGAGGGTTCTCCTTGTTATTGGGTATACGTATCAGTAATTTGTTCTTTTCAGTTGCTGGCTGATATTCCATTGTTTCAGCGTACCCCATTTTGTATACACTACCAGCTTAAGAACATTTGGGTTGTTTCCAGGTTTGGAGTGACTGTGAATAAAGCTACTGTAAAGATACACATGCAGATTTTGTGGGAACATGTGTTTTTATTTCTCTTGGGTAAACACCTAAGAGTCAGATTGCTCGGTCCTATAAGTGTAGGTTTAACTTTATATGAAATTACCAAACTGTTCTCCAAAGTGGTGTACCGTTGGTGTTCCCACCAGCAGTGTGTGTGAGTTCTGGCTGCTCCACATCCTCGTTAGCACCTGCTATTATCAGAATTTATTTTTCTTTTTCATTCTGTTTAGGTTTTTCGTTATTCTAATAGGTGTATACCTCGCCCTGGGTTTAATCTCTAATTTTCTGATGGCAAGTGATGTTGAGCTTGTTTCCCTGTGCTTATTTGTATCCATTTTTTTTTCTTTGGTGAAGTGCCTGATTAAATCTTTGAATGCTTTTTAAATTATTACATAGAATAATATACATAACAAAAACTTTACCATTTTAAACTTTTTTTTTTTTTTTTTTTGCCAAGGAAGATTCTCCCTGAGCTAACATCTGTTGCCAGTCTTCCTTTATTTTTGCTTAAGGAAGATTAGCCCTGAGCTAACATCTGTGTCAATCTTCCTCCACTTTGTATGTGGGTCACTGCCAGAGCATGGATTGATGAGTGGTGTAGGTCCACGCCTGGGATCCAAACACATGAACTCAGGCTGCTGAAGCAGAGCATGTGGAAGTTTCACCACTCGGCCATGGGGCAAGCCCCCATTTTAACCATTTTTAATTGTTCAAGTCAATGGCATTAAATAGATTCACTTTGTTGTACAACCATCACCACCATATATCTCCAGATCTTTTTTCATCTTCCCAAACTGAAACTTTGTGCCCATTAAATGAATAACTCTCCATTTCCCCTCCCCAAGATCCTAGCCACCACCATTCTATTTTCTGTGTGTCTGTGAATTTGCCGACCCCAGATACTTCACTGAAGTGGAATCTACAGTATTTGTCCTTTTGTGACTGGCTTATTAAACTTAGCCTAATGTCTTCAGTCCACATTGTAGCATGTGTCAGTATTTCCTTCCTTTTTAAGTCTGAACAGTATTCTACTGCATGTGTTTTCACACTTAGTTAATCCATTCCTCTATTGATGGACGCTTGAGTTGCTTCTTCCTTTTCATTATTGTGAATAATGCTTCTGTGAACGTGGTGCACAGATATCTGTTCAAGTTCCTACTTTCAATTCTTTGTGTACACACCCAGAAGTGACATTACTGGATCATATGGTAATTCTATTTTTAATGTTTTGAGGAACTGCCCTACTGTTTTCCACAGAAAGGCACCATTTAACAATCTCAAGAGAAAAGCGCAGGGGTTCCAATGTCTCCACGTTCTCGCCAACTCATGTTACTTCAGTTTTTTTGTTTGTTTGTTATTTTTCTTTTAAATAGCCATCCTAATGCATGTAGCATACCTCACTGTACAACTGTAGTTGTAATTTGCATTTCCATAATATTAGAAATGTTGACCATGTTTTCATGTTTTTACTGGGCATTTGTACATCTATGGAGAAATGTCGATTGAAATCCTTGGCCAATTTTTATATTGGGGTGTTTGTTGTTGTTGAGTAGCTGGGTTTTTTTAATATATATAAAACTGGATTCTTTTCTTTGTTTGTTTACTGATATTTTGTTTTGAGAGTGCTTGATATATTTTAGATACAAGTCATCCATCAGACATATATTTACAGAGGTATTCTGCCAATCTGTAACTTTTAATCTCTTCATAGTGGCTTTCACAGAACAGCAGGACCCCATTCATGAAGACATGTGTCCCCCATGAGGTGACCCACAGTTGTGTCAGGATGTGGAAGAGCAGAGCAAAGAAGATTAAAAGGTGGAAGTTCTGGAGTCCAGATGGAGGCATTCCAGGGTGCAAAAGGTCATGTGAGAAGTGCAATCACCCAAAGAAACCCAGGTCTTAATCCCTGGGCCCTGTAAATGGTCCCTTACAAGGAAGAAGGGTCTTTGCAGATGTGACTAATGTAGGGATCTTGACCTGAGGAGATGATCCTAGATTATCTGGGTGGGTCCCTAAATCTAGTCACAAGTGTCCTTCTGATAGAGAAGCAGAGGGTGATGTTCTACACACAGAGGAGGATGAGCAATGGGACCACAGAGACAGAGTAATGTCGCCACAAGTCAAGGAATGCCAGCAGCACAATCATCCGGGAGAAGTAAGAGGTGGATTCTCTCCTCAAACTTCTGAGGGAGTGAGAAATACCAACAACTTGATTTTTGCCAAGCAAAACTTATTTTGGATGATGGGGTTCAGGACCCGTTATCCCAAGATGAGGCTCCTTTGCATAGTGAATAGTTCAAGCTGGAGGAATTTGAGAAACGGCATGTGCAGGAAGGACTTTCTGACCTTCTCTTGAAGCAGGTCATAAGCCCTCACTGAGAGGTGCCCTCCTTGTACCTGGAGGAAAGGAGCATCTTATCTCCTAAGATCAAG